TCGTTGAAAACAATTTTGTTGACATTTCCTTTTGAACCTATTCGCTTTACTGACACACAGCCGGCTTTTGTTTACAAACCAATTATCATCAAATTATTTTTATTTTGAAAATGAAATATTTTCGAATCCTCAAAATAAAAATTGAAAAACATGAATGAAAATCTTTCTAATTTATATTTCTATCGCTTCCACATCTTTCCTATAATTGAGCCATTGCCACATATATATGTAATACATATGAAAATGCTGGGAATAGCGAGTTATTCCTTGAAGAAAGATTTGCTTCCCGAAACTTTCCCAGCAGACAGATTGAGTAAATTGAATACTGGAGCACATTTAATAATGAACAATTTCAAATTGTATGCGTTCCCAATTTTCGAGTTGGGTGATTTTTAAAAACATAATTTGTCAAATTCATATTGACACTAGTATTACGTTGGAATCAAATCAGCTGGGATTTGCTGTTACCTTTTATAATTGTACCATGAGCCTTACCTAAATTTGGACTAGCTCGTAAATGAAAAGCACATGTATTTATATGTTACCGAAATACGTCGACGTAGGAATTTTCAAAATTGAAAAAATTCAACTATGACAGAACGTAGGTTTGTTTTTTATTTTGTTGGAAAAAAAACAAAATTAAATTATAAAATTTTCAATAAGAATGTAAAATATTTAAATACATTTTATATTTTTTTAATTTTGTTTAGTTTGCTATTTTTTCCGAATAGGACGCGCTCTATTTTCGTATGTGAAACATAAGGAAATCAGCTGTTTGAATGAAACACATTGTTGGAAGAAAATATTTCAATTGCAAGTCAAAGAAAAGGATGAAAAGGCAACAATTACAAATTATTATTTCGTTTGTAGGTGTTTAATAAAAAATAGATGTTGATTTAAGAGAAAATAAAAGCGATTTTTTTGTTTATAGGTTATGTCATATGTAAAATACGTATGTCGATTTGAACACAAAAATAAATGTTTTGTGTACGCCGCTAATTTTGACACACATAAGGGCTAAGCAGAATGCTCGCGTTGAGCATTTTTTGTTATCGCGTTAACACACGCAAAAAGTTAAAATATATTTAACTTTGAGTGTTTGTGTTATCGTTTCCTTGTGGTTGTTGTATTTTCGATAACACTTAACGCAACGGATGGCTCAATGCGAGCATTCTGGTTAGCCCTATAAGGAATTACATATGGATGAAATAATGCCATGTACAGACGAGCGTTGTTCGCTCTCTCATTCGTTGTTCGACCCTTAATTATGAAGTAATTACTTAGTTCCCCATACAAAATTGTCTGCGCGAACACCGACTTTTGTACGTTGTTCAATTCGAATCACTCTCTGAATCACCAAGAAATTTGTCCCATCCCTAACAACTGAGAGCATTTATCGAAAATAAATTAATTTTGACAACTTGAAAATATTTATAAAATTTTCAAACTTTTTTAGTAATATGATGAATATGAAAATGATGAATGAAAAGTAAAAAATTGTCTAGTTTTTATATCTGCAGCAGGATGTAAATTTTGTTATCTACATAATGCAATGTGAATTTCTTTCCCCATGGTTCTAATTAGCGTACAAAACAAGAAACAAATTTGGGGACACTCAAACAAACAATTCTCAAAATTTTTATATGTGACATTTGAATTTAGAATATATAAAAATGTATGAAAACAACAATATTTTCAGAAAAAATGGAAAACATGAATTAAAAGTAAATAGATATGGGTTCATACTATAGTCAGGAGAAAGAGAATTAATTTTTCTATTTAGATCCATATGTGATTCATGTAAATATGTTAGAATTTTGGCGTAAAACAAGAAACAAAAAGTTTGAAATAAAAAACCCTGATGACATGAATTAGGAATAGTGTTGTATGAACGGGTTAATTCATGTACGTAATTCTGAGAGCGAACTACGTTGTTCGAATGCCCGTCAGAACATGGCATAAGTGACAGCACATATGTAAAATACATATCGTGTAAAAACACCATAAGATATATCGATTCGACGTATTTGGGTAATACGGCCGTAAAACCATTTTGCCATAGTGGGGAAGTTTAATATTAGGTGTGGTCCCAAACTTGCAATATAGTACTATATTGTACTAGTTTTGCAGTTTTTGCTAGAAAAGCGTTCCCTTACGCCAAAAGTTAAAGTTAAATTTAAGAGAGTTGAAATCAAAATGGCGTTCTCTTCTCCTATTTTCTGCAAGACCAATTTGGCCTAGTACGAAATAGTAAATGTAGTAAATTATGAATTTGACAATTCATTTCCAGAGCTATACAGTTCGAAATAAACCGTATGCAAGTTAGCGCTTCAACAAACAAGACACACGCACATACACACACATATTTGCTTAAAAAAGAAAAGAATTAAGAATGAAGAAGCAGTTCTTTATTCACTTTTGGAGGATTCATCTATCGAAGATGAATAGCGTGCAGAAGATTCAGATGAAATTTTTTACTCAGAAATTGTAAAATGGACGCATTTTAACTTATATGTTTCTTTGTGTGCATTCGGTTTCTGTGGTCCGTTTTTTGTCATTAACTGATGAAATTTTTTATTTTGACGTTTCTTCACGTTTTCACTATTTTTCGTTCCTATACTTTTTGTGCAAATCTTGTATGTGAGAGCCTTTTTGATAGTTCGCTCTTTTACTAGCTTTACTATCAAAAAGTACGGGAACGAACCTATTTTTGTACGCCTCGTTGGAATTTAGGTAACGTTTTTAGGCATGGTACAATTATAAAAGGTAACAGCAAATCCCAGCTGATTTGATTCCAACGTAATACTAGTGTCAATATGAATTTGACAAATTATGTTTTTAAAAATCACCCAACAGGAAAATTGGGAACGCATACAATTTGAAATTGTTCTTTATTAAATGTGCTCCTGTATTCAATTTACTCAATCTGTCTGCTGGGAAAGTTTGAGGAAGCAAATCTTTCTTCAAGGAATAACTCGCTATTCCCAGCATTTTCATATGTGTTACACATATATATTGCAATGGCTCAATTATAGGAAAGATGTGAAAGCGATAGAAATATAAATTAGAAAGATTTTCATTCATGTTTTTCAATTTTTATTTTGAGGATTCGGAAATATTTCATTTTCAAAATAAAAATAATTTGATGATAATTTGTTTGTTTACATTTTTCTGTCAAATGAGTTGACACTAGTAGAACTTACAACAACAAATTTCCATGTGGTTGTTGTATCGTTTTTTGTACAACAACACTTGCTGTTACCTTCTATTATTATACCATGGTTTTTAGGTAAGGCTGTAAAATGTGAGAAATATTTGGTCGTTTTCCTCACTGCAAGAACAGACCAATTGTAAAAGTTTCATTTCAAAACAAAACAATTTTGTATTCAATTTGAATATGGTTTTTGATAAAATATTTTCCGTATAAAAATATATTTGTTTCTGTTTTGCCTACCGTCATAGAATTGATCACATATTTCTACTTTTTCCAAACATATTTCAATCAAAAATGTCCTCATTTTCTCGTTCAATATGTCTTTTCAAAAGGGAATGAATGGAAATTTTAAAAATACTTTTTTATTTTCAAATGTTTCTATTTTAAAAGTTTAGTAGAATTACTTGAACAACTCTATAAAAACTGTAGTTCATTGTAATGTCGTATTAACATCAGCCTTATCGGACGACCTTATAATTGAGCCATGGTCAGATCATTTTACCAACAGAACAACTGATGATGTATTTATCCACTTGAATCTGCCTAGTTACTGTACGACAAAGTGGGGGAATTCCCTGCATAGAACAAAGAACCATATAAAAAGCTTTTTATGATGTTGACAAATATAAATACAATTTATATTAGTGTTGCCACCTTGGTTGACACAAACATGGGATGTGTTTCAAAAACGGGCATCTCACGATCTCTGAAATCGAACAATTATAATTAGAATTTGATATTAATCAGTGTTCCTGTTCAGTTCATTGAGAAAATATAAAAATGTATCAAAAACAACAAAATTTTTAGAAAAAAGTTAAAAACATGACAGAAGTAATTAACCATAGGCTCTAACTATAATCAGAAGAGAGAGAGAGAGAAAGTGTATGGAATCCTTAATACATTACCTCAGGCCGTCAAAATTATTTTTCTGTTTTTAAATAAGAGAATCAGGGGTAAAGACTGGAAATGCAAAAGGGAAAATGTTGCCACAAACATGGAATATATTTGTTCGTCTATACACAGCCATTTGTTGATTTGAAATACAGTCGAGTACGCTTATAACGCACATTGATCCCGAAGTTTTAAGACATATATTATTTTCCACAGGCAAATTTTTGTTTTTTTGTTGTCTCTTTTGAAATTTTCGCTTGCTTTTCAACTAGCAAATTTTTCTTTGCCAAATTTGGGAATCAAAATACAAAAGAAGGAAAGAAACGTCAAAAGTGTTTAAATTTTGAAGAATTTTTTAATATTTAATTCATTTTTTATATATTTTTTTATATAAATTGCAAAAATTAAAAATTAAATTTCACTTGCACAAATTAAAGCAACAGGTTTGTAAACAAAAGCCAGCTGTGTGGCAGTAAAACGAATAGGTTCAAATGAAATGTCACAAAATTGTTTTCAACGAACAGAGCAAAGCAGAATTCTTTTGTTTCTTTTCCTCGCACCGCTCTCTCCAACAAACTCAAATTTTGCCTGTGGAATAGGGGACATACACATTTATGACATATTTTTCATAAATTTAACAAACAAAAATTGTCAGCTGTAATGTCTGTTCCCTCAAAGAAAAACAACTTAAGTATTTCATTGGGGAGATTTAGAAATCCCCAATTTATGAAAATCTGGCATACCTCACATGTATAAAAAAGAAAGCTTTTGTTAATGTCGAACCGCCACCCGATTGATAAATCAAAGGAGAATATTGTTTCAGTATAGCTAGTTTCCATTGAAGTTCACTTATCGCTTCCCAGAAAACTCTGAGATCTACAACAAAGCAAAGACAATGGCCGGACTATATTTGATGTGTCCCATCTGCACGGAAGATTTTCAAATGCAGGATACCGTGTACAGCACTGATTGTGGTCACCTATATCATTTCAGTTGTATGCAACAATGGAGAAGCAGGTAAGTGGATTTTGAATTCAACAGGCATTGTCAGTAAGTTACTTCTCCTTATGTTTAGATCATCGTGCTGTCCTCAATGCCGCCATCACGATCCATCTACACACAGAATATTCCTAATTGGCAACTCTCAGCCAATACCGACTGCTCCCAAAGAAAATGTAGATGACTTAAAGACGCAGTTAGAATCTAGCATTGATAAGATTCACGAATTACAAGCTCAATTGGAAGAGGCTGAGCTTAATCTATTTCACATGCAGGAACAGTTTACAGTAGAACAGGGACTAAAAAAGAGTTTAGAACGTACCCTAGCAGAGTATAAGAATAATGAAGACAATTTCTTAAACTTACACGGCCAGTATTCTGAGTCGGAAGAGCGTGTACAATTGCTTTTGGAAGAAAATGAGCGTTTGACGTTGGAAAATAATTACAAAGCAAACGAAATCAAATCAAAGATGGATGAAATCACTAAATTGAAAGAAACTTTTAATAAAGACTTGCAATTTGGTGACATTCAAAACGAATGTAAGAATGACCAATTGACATTTCTGGAACAAGAAATCGAACGATTGACAAAAGAACTTGAACAAAAAAATCGTGAAATCACAGAACAGAAGGTAAAACAAAAGATGGAAAAGGCTGTTTCATCAGATATAGTTGTTAAATCTTTGCAGCAGAGACTCCAGCATACTACCGAACAATTGGAAAAAGAAATTACAAATAGTATAACACTTGAATGTGATAAAATGAAATTGCAAAGTAAAATACAACGACTAGAAGAACAACAACAACAGAGAATTAATAATAATGAAACTCCCGATAGGAAACCAAAGACTCGACGTGAAAGAAAAAACAAAACTGACGCCACTAATAATAATACGTCGCACATTCTACCAAATACGAAAAATGTGAACAATAGTTCAACTGTTCCACCAACTGTAAATGAGAATGACTCGCCAAGTGGTGTAGTATTGCAGAAGTTCCCATATAAAGAAATTCGGTATCCTTTGGAGGATATGATTGTTTCGTTTGCCGCTAAAATGAATACAACTCTAACCAAAGACGATATCGTTAGAGTAAACATATTGGATAAATTGGTAACAAATAAAATACCAACTACTGTTTGTATGCATGTGGTATTACGAACGAACATTCTAAAGCAAAATTTTATAAGCCAACAGTTTTTGTTAAGGAATTATGAAATCTTCCGAGATGTTTTTATAAAGGAGTATGTTGATCGGGAAATTCACGGATTGTTTTTGTATGCCAAAAGACAACTACGTGGAACTGTCTTTGAAAGTATTGTGATACAAAACAATGAGATTATTGGCAAGAAGAAATTTCATGACGCGAGTGGGACAATCATAAAAAGCAAAGAACAAGTGGACGAACTACGTAATAAATCAGTCTCGCAGCCAATCATTGATGAATATTATTACAAGATATCAGTGTAGTAATGTAATCTTATACTAATTGTATTTGTTCGTTAAATAAAAATATTTTACCCTGAAAAACAATATAAGTATTTTGTGTATAGGCGTGTATTGTTTCCATTTTATACATTGGTCTATATAAAAACTAGTGGTCACAATACAGGCCAATCGTTCTTTATAAAGACTTGTGGTTGCAATTAAATTACCTATAGTGTTTAAAAATCGAATTTTATGTGGAAGTGTTTCTATAAATCCAGGTTTTTGAAATTAACTCTAAATGGAGAAACAATTAGTAAAATATGGAATTCCATTACACCAAATGAGTGTAAAACATAACTAAAATCGATGAACTATAATAATGAACAAAAAACTAATAAATGATTGAGATGTGTTATCATTCAATGCTAAATTTAATTTATTAGTGCTGTTATTATACTTATGGAGATCTTGGATTAATATTCTAGTTTTACTTATTCCATAAAAATATTGAATAAATCAGCCCGGTAAAAACACCAAAAATAACATTACAAATGCACGGTCAAAATATACATATATAAAAACATTTATTTTAAGTACGTGTACATAAATATATATGAAATCATTTATTTTTAAATACCTGAATTCTTTTATTTTTAATAAAATTTTAAACGGTTTTAAACATAATAAAATTATCCTTACAATAAATATCGTTTAGCTTAATTTGGACCGTTTTTGAGGGTTTTAGAGAGATTTAAAACTGAAAATTTAATATAATAACATGTGGTACGAACTTTTAGTGATTAGTGTTCCTAATGTCGATCCAAGTAGTCGGCATCTATAGTATTTAAGCTCAAATAACTAAAAAAATCTGCATTAATATTATCATCTATTTCTGTGTAGAATTTCATCACGGTAAGAATTTAGTACATATTTGTAAAGTTTACTTTTTTTATTCATTTATAAACAAAATCAGTTTTAAGGGGTTTTCCGATGTTGGAACCAAAATTTATATAACATTTCAATAAAAGAAATCAATTAAAGAAAAAAACATAATTTTACTAAATTCTACTAAAGGTAAAAACATTTCGAAATGGATGAACCTTTATAAAAATAATGTTAAAAAAATTCAAAATATGTAAATCCTTAAAGTGTCGACTACTGGTACACCTACCCTGTATGCAAAACAATTATATTTACAGAATATTGCATTCAGATTCTTGTTTTCTAACAACAGGAGCTACATATTTTGGTGACCTGAAAGTTCTTGGGGGAAGTCTTACTTCGTTCCGGACACTATTCTGGACAGTCGGGACGGTATTTGGTCTAATTTGGTAGTTATTTGTTACTGGAACGTATGTGTTGGTGTTAGCCGAGGTGACTTTGGTCACTGATGTATTCATCTTTGGACCAAGAAGCTCGTCGACTTGCTCTTTTGATTTGATTTCAACTTCCATCGAATGTTTTTCTTTTTTTACAAATATGCTATTATTCTTCACAAAAATGATGTTGTATCCTTTTTCTTTCAATTTGTGGCTATATGTAAAAAGTTCGTTAGTTTTTTTATCCAATGGTTCATGTAGGCGAATATTTGACATTTGTGGATTTCCTTTCAATTTGTATTTATTCCTCAAAAACATATCCTTGTGCAGAGCATTTTTAAAATACACATGCACTGCCTTGCCGTCTTTTAAAACACCTTCGATGTCATCTTTTGTAATGGAAATGCGCATAACTTCGATTAACTTCATAACTGTGTTTATCGTCGGATCCGTATGATGATTTGATTGGAGGTTTTTGATTATAACTTCATGTTTGTCATTAGTTGCGATCGATCCTCCTAATGCTTGAATGTCCAAATATATACGATGTGGTTGCGGGTTACTTCGGTTGCATAAAGGGCAAGTATTGGACCTGAAAAGAGCCGAAATAAAAATAGAAAATAGATTTAATATATTAAATATTTCACTACCAACCTCTGTAGCCAAGTTTCCAGACAATCACAATGGTATATGTGGCCACATATAGTACTGCAGATGTCGTCTGAACCAAACGCTTCGGTACATATCGAACATGACCCACCCGTAGCCATATCTTTAACAGAAAACGCAAAAAGAAACACACAGCTTAATTACACAAAGGCAATGAATTGAATGAAAATTGCATTGCCTCTGTGCAGTGAAGTTGATTACTATGGCGAACAAAACGAAAATAAGTGGGAGCTTTCATTATCAGTACAGATACGATGTTGCCACATGACAAATATATTCATGTGGATGATGCCCTCAATATTTTAGTTAGTAAAACAATTTTCAATTAAAAGTTTTACATGCATATTCCAACTACAAAATAAATAAAATAAAAATGCCAAGTCATATAAACTCCCACATGACCTTTTGTTGTTTCAGATTGCTGATGTATATACTTTGTATATGTTTTTATTGCAATTTACGTCATTATTTAATATAACATATCAAAAATCTGGCATCCTAATACAAAAAGCTTTTTATATATTTTTTTTTATTGTGCCTAATTAGGGGATCCACACATTAATGGCGTTATTGTTATTTTCAGCTACGCAGAGTAAATTTGCTTTCTCATGATAACTCAAAAATATCTAAATACAATCAATTTGGTAAAAAAAAGTGTCCAAATCCTCAAATGCCAATAAATGGATGTACTGCTGTGTGGGAGCTATAGATGTACCGATGTTGCTAATTTTTTGTAAGAAGATTTTCCAACTAATGAAAACCCAAAATATCAATATACAGCAAAATCGGTTGGGCACATAATTGTACCCCGCATTGTGATTTTATAAGGATTATTAAAACATGTTCCTGTAAAGTGCGATTGATTGATTTGAAAGATTTCAGTATAATTCTAAGCAGGGTATACTAGACAAGCGGCTCTACTTATATACAGACGACTTCAAGATGTATGAAAGCACTGGCCTTGCGCATGTCTTCAGATTGATAAGTGTGTTGGACCACCTATGGGCTATTAAAATCAATTAGAACCCACAACGTCTGGCTCTCCTGGCTTATCTGTACTCCAGTCCTTACTTGTCAAATATTAAGCATGAGCACAATGCAATGTACTTTGTCATTTTTCGTCAGACGCCCTTGATCTGTTCAAGGAAGCCCAATCAGTGTTAGCAAAATTTTGATGTTGGCAACATCGTCATGTTTTTGACATTTGTTCTTTGTATTGTGAATACGAAGTGGTGAGTTTGTTTTTGCATTTGCAATTGCATTGTGCAAACGCTGAGAACAAGAGCGCAATAACATTTATTTTGTACATAATTCGTATAATCAATAACTCGGTCCAAAAGTAGTATTTGTTGTTAGTGCTGCAGCAATAGTCCACTGCATTTGTTAAAGTGTTGTAATTTCTGAATCGTCATCGAGGATTTGAAACAAGTAATGTGAGTAAATTGTGCTTTTCATAATTGGTAGCTAAATTTTGGACTGGCGACACTATGAATCGAATAAAAAGTCGTATTAATCAATGAACATTTTGCTGTTGAATTGTGTTTTTGTTGTTGTTGCTGTTCTTTGACGCCGCTGCAGTGAACATAAACAAATTGCAAATGTGGTGAATAAAAATCTGCCGCAAGAGACGAGAGTCAAATATGATATCCATTGTTTATATTAACCCATAATGTATGAAATAGCATTAGAGAGCCGACGAAGTAAGAAAAATGTCTTGTTTTAAATAATTTCTCTGTACTGGAATGTTTACAGTATTTTTCGGTTAATTGACCCTACGGTTAATTAGTTTCCACGCTTAATTGAACCACATGATGGTTCAAAAATATTTCATTTCGTAGTAAGCGGGTTCGGATAATTGGTTCCTCGGTTAATTGAACAAAAATTTGTGCAAATTTTGATGTGCAATTAACCGAAAAATACTGTATTGCAATCACGTATAAATTTGGGAATTTTTGAAAGTAAAACTCCTTGTACATTAGAACCTTTACCGGGTTAACCTACTTTATGAGGATTTATTTGACGTACATGCAAAGGAATTGAAACCCATTTGGTTAACGAAATCCGGTTAAATGTAAACGTACTATAAGATTGATTTTGTACTTGACTACAACGACATAATTTTTTTTAAGGATTGCATAATTTCCAAAATTGGAATCCAAATTTGGCTTAAGTCTAGTTTAGGGCCCCCTCCCGGATCGTTTTGAAATTTTTACCACATGTAGTCCTTGGGGCCCTGATTACAGCAGTATACTTTTTTTCTTGCGGAAATCGGTATTTCCGGAGATATAGGCCTCCAAAGTTCCGTTGGGACCCTTGAATTTTCACGTAATATTTGAAAATTCACTAAGGCAATATAAGTATCATTTTAAAGCATTTCAAGCCCTGATTACAAAACTTTAATATTCATATTAAATAAGTTCATACTTTCTGAGATATAGGTCTCAAAAATCCGGTAAGTACCTTCCATGTTGTTATTGTGTAATATTGGTCAAGGCAATGTTGGAATCATTTTAAAGCTTAAATACATTCTGTCGCGTAGCCGGTGTTGCCATCTGTCCATAGGAGAAAGCCTTAAATTCACGGCCGAAGGCCGGCTACCCACAAAAACTATTCTAATTAAAAGGAGATTCTGTCGCGTAGCCGGTGTTGACATCTGTCCATAGGAGAAAGTCTTAAACCCCGGCCGAAGGCCGGCTACCCACATACACTATTCTAATTAAAAGGAGATTCTGTCGCGTAGCCGGTGTTGGCATCTGTCCATAGGAGAAAGTCTTAAATCCCCGGCCGAAGGCCGGCTACCCACAAACACTATTGCAATTAAAAGGAAATTCTGTCGCGTAGCCGGTGTTGGCATTTGTCCATAGGACCTATATCTCAGGAAGTATGGACTTATTTGATATGAATATTATATTTTTTTAATCAGGGCCATAGACACGAAAATGGATCCATAAACATGTCATTCATTACGCTATGCCGTGCAAATCGAATGATATATATTTGCATTTACATTAAATCGGGGGAAAACATATATAGGAGCTATATCTAAATCAAAATCATTACACTATGCCAAATTTCGTGCAAATCGAAATATATACAGGGACTTTGATACACCATTTACATTAAATCGGTCGAAACTATATATGGGAGCTATATCTAAATCTGGACCGATTTTCTCGAAACTTGGCAGACATTATTCGAGGCTACCACAAACACTATTCCAATTAAAAGGAAATTCTGTCGCGTAGCCGGTGTTGGCATCTGTCCATAGGACCTATATCTCAGGAAGTATGGACTTATTTGATATGAATATTATATTTTTGTAATCAGGGCTTCAAATGCTTTAAAATGATACCCATATTGCCTTAGTGAATTTTAAAAAATTACGAGAAAATTCAAGGGTCCCAACGGAATTTTGGAGGCCTATATCTCCGGAAATACCGATTTCCGCAAGAAAAAAAGTATACTGCTGTAATCAGGGCCCCAAGGACTACATGTGGTAAAAATTTCAAAACGATCCGGGAGGGGGCCCTAAACTAGACTTGTTCCGAAATTATTGAATAAAGTTTCTCTCTCAACTTCCTCTCACAGACCAAACATTCGCAGGCTTTTTTTTGTGTCTTGAAAGGACGTAGAATTCGAATCTCTTTTGTAAATCTATATTATTGGTCTGATCCCGTACTGCAAGAATCTGCAACAACGTAGAATTAGGTTCAAGCCTTACGAGGCGTATGCAAATATTGAACTCCCTCACTATGCCGAAATGTTATGTACGTTCGTAATAATCAAATACGTGGAATAACGAAGAAAACTAAATGAAATCGAGGAACAAGATTGAATAATAATAAAATATATCAAAATATTCATGTTCTAATATCGAAAAAATAGTAAAAAGTGGTAGATTCTTGCAGTTGAATTTGTTCAATTTTGAAAATTCGTACATCGTCGTATATCTGTTACATTGTTGTGAAAAACATCGAACTAACTAATCAAATATTAGATACAAAACAATATTTTATAAGAAATAAAACTATAAAATGTTGTTTTACAATTTACAAAATGTTTTTTGTAATTGATTTATTTTTTTGCTTACATAAGTTTACATTGGTGAACAGTTTTCATTTTCTTAATTTTTGATCAATATTCTTAAACAATTATTAATACTCCAAATAATAATCTAAATTAAATTTGTGTTTTAACAAAACAGAGCAAAAATTAAGTGGTAATGTGTACACTACTTCTGCTCGTAAAGAAAAACGCACCGAAATGGGTTAAATAATGCCAAACAAAGTCAACGCTGTCATATCGCCAATACAACCGTGCCTTTCTGGTGTGTGGTGAGATACCCGCACTCAAGTTAATTTACTTGTGGTGAATTTGATACGTGAGAAAATAAAATGTCGACGCGAAAACTTTTCATTCATTAGTCAGGCAGAGTAGAGACATTCTTTGTTTGTGAAGAAGTAATTGAACGATTCCAACAATTACAACGGAGTTTCGATTTTCCAGACCCATTTCCAGTGCTTAATGTAGAAGCGAAGAGATCCAGACATTTTATAGCTCGTTTTGCATCCAACCCAAAAGGCAAGGACAGAGTGCAGAGAGGAAGCTGCTGTCGGACAAAGAACCATACAAAATGGACAATGATCAAGACCATTCGGGATTTCGGATGAGACCTATGTCACCACAAGAAATCAAACCGGATATTTCACTACTCAACGAAAATAATGCATCAAACTTTTCTCCAAAACCTGGCAGCCCCGGGCACTTTGGGGCAATGGAATTGCAGGCAATCAATGCTGTAGCAGCTGCTGCTGCCAACAACCAGAACCAAATGTTGCAGACTACGCCACCACAACAACAAATGCAGCAACAGTATCCTCCCAACCACCCACTGAGTGGGTCGAAGCATTTGTGTTCCATATGTGGCGACAGGGCCAGTGGTAAACATTATGGTGTTTACAGTTGTGAGGGATGTAAAGGCTTCTTCAAGCGTACGGTGCGTAAAGACTTGACGTATGCCTGTCGGGAGGACAGAAATTGTATAATTGACAAACGTCAAAGAAATCGCTGCCAGTATTGTCGTTACCAGAAGTGTTTAGCTTGTGGCATGAAACGCGAAGCAGTCCAAGAGGAACGACAACGCGGCACAAGAGCTGCTAATGCCCGGGCCGGTGCTATGGGTGGCATTAGTGGCAGTGGTATCGGCGGTGAAGACTTCAAGCCAAGCAGCTCATTGCGTGATCTCACCATTGAACGTATCATTGAGGCCGAACAAAAGGCTGAGACTCTGAGCGGTGATAATGTACTGCCCTTCCTGAGGGTCGGCAACAATTCCATGGTACAGGCTGATTATAAGGGCGCCGTATCGCATCTTTGCCAAATGGTTAACAAACAGCTCTTCCAAATGGTTGAGTATGCCAGACGTACGCCACATTTTACACACTTGCAGCGCGAAGATCAAATTATGCTGCTCAAGGCTGGCTGGAACGAATTGCTGATAGCCAATGTTGCTTGGTGCAGTATAGACTCGTTGGATGCTGAGTATGCCACGCCAGGTGGTGTTCACGATAGTTCTTTTGGTCGTCGTTCACCTGTGCGGCAGCCACAACAGCTCTTCCTAAATCAAAACTTCTCATATCACCGCAACAGTGCCATCAAGGCCAATGTGGTTTCCATATTTGATCGCATTCTGTCCGAGCTAAGTATCAAAATGAAACGTTTGAATATCGATCGGTCGGAATTGTCTTGTCTGAAGGCCATCATTCTGTTCAACCCTGACATTCGTGGTTTAAAGTGTCGCAAGGATGTTGAAGGATGTCGCGAGAAAATATATGCCTGCCTGGACGAACACTGTCGTACGGAACATCCCGGTGATGACGGAAGATTCGCTCAGTTGTTACTCCGGTTACCGGCATTGCGTTCCATCAGTCTAAAATGCCTGGATCACTTGTTCTTCTTCCGTTTGATTGGCGAACGACCGCTGGATCAATTGATAGCCGAACAGTTAGAAGCTCCAATGTGTTAGGAGGAGTTTCCCGTGGAACTGCATGTGTGATGTATGCAAAGAGAGTACGCTGCATTAAAGTGGGTGTGATTGGTAAAACCATACCGAAGGCTAAGCCTCGTCACAGATACGACCACTACTTGCAGATATTCTCCGAATTCGAATAGTAGCAATAGTTCTATTAAGCTTTTATCACCTTTCTTGTTATACGTTCTTTTAGAAAAACAAAGCAAATGAAGCCAACATCAACTAGCACACTTGTTTTGGTGGCCGCATGCGAGTTCTTTATTGAGTGTTTAAATTCCGGATAATCCAATCTCAACCGATATGCATAGACTGTCTATCGGTCCCCATATGTGATTAAATGTTAATTTGACTTGCTGCTATATTTCCAAATAATCCATTGAGCTAACAAATGCTATTTGTTGGCAACCTAGCACTGTTGGACTCTAACCAGCTGAAATTGAAGTGAATGGAGTGTCTGTGCACTAAAGCCACTTCGATTGACAATTAACACCTCTGTTTTTTTTTTATTTGGTTACATTATTATCTTATTTAGTTCACAATTGCCTTGATTTAGTTATAATTTTTATAAGTGTAGAATTATATATTTTTTTGCTCCTTCTATTTGTATGGATAATTTGGCGTAAATTTTATTCTGTCTATTACATGCTTATTGTCTACGTATGTATGTGACTGTAAAATAAGAATTTAAATAATGTTATACTCTTAACTACTATTGTATATTATTGACGGTTTAAAACAATAATAATAACCTTATATAGATTCAAACATATATAAATACAAAACAAACCGAATAATAAATAAATAGACATTTTATCCTGTTGAATCAAAAACAAACAAAGAATATGAATCCTTAATGGAAAACATGGAAAGCAATTAGAATTTCGTGTAATTTTTAAAATAATTGTTTATTTTTTTAATATAAGTTATGGAATGTTCAGCTACGGCCGTAAAATGTAAAATGTTTCAAATATTATTCTTCCATATTGAATATCATATCGTTACCTAAAATGCAAAAAGGCGTAACTAACAAAAATTTGAAAATTGAGTTTTTGAATGAATATTGTGAATGTCAATAAACTACATGTGTTGACAAAGTTTTACACGTCTGCGGTCAAAAAAGGAGCTTCTATTAACAAAAAACAAAAAGACGTAACTACAAGTGGGTTTATTTGATAAATGCAAAAAGGCGTAACTAACAAAAAATTCACGTTTTTACTTAATTGTTATGACTGCCATTAAACTAAATTTGATTTGCACTTAACTAAATTTGTTAAAAAAATTATAGTCTATTATTCGCCATATGCAATATCACCCTGCCGGGAATACTTTTTCATTTCACATGACATGTTTATAGTTTTCATTCAAAACTGTTTTTTGCTTCTCCTACACAATTATGCTTTTGTTAGTTACGCCTTTTTGCATTTTAGCTGACGATATGTATTTCTGGTTTAAGTTGAACGTAAAAGCGACTAGAATATCAGTATGAATTGTCAATTTAAACGTTTTTTTTTCGGGTTACTTGAGTTTTGCACATGCCTACAGTTGGACGTCTTTAAAATAAAAGTTTCATTCAAAGATGTTGATTTCAGAAACGATTTAAAATAACCTGGCGATCTATTTATGGACGAATTTTAAGAAATAAATGCTTAACTGGGCAATTTAATTTTTACTTAATTTCTTCAACTGTGAAGCAAATTCAATATCGATTAATTTGGAGTAATGTGCTCGGAGAATGTGTTAGGACGTTAGCCTTAGTTTTCCGTTTTTTTGCGATTCATGCTTGGGTTTTGCAATTGAGGTGTTGGAGAAACCTCCCAAGTAGTAATGTGACCTTCACATGTTTTGGATCTTTCTCAAGCTGACCCAAAATTTGCAATAATAGGTGCATTTTTTAATACAGTTTTTTATCTAAATTGATACTGACAAATTGTCTCGCAAAAATAAAAATGACCAATGCTCCCTCGAGGGAGATCCTATATGGATCTTCCGATTGTCCTCACATGAACATGTAGGGCTGTGTATGGAGAAAGGGGTTAATAACAGCCCATATATAATCGAATCAGAGTGGGTCACGCTGGGATAAAATACACGTCTAACGTGTAGAATATAAAATTCGATGTTTAATTGTAGGTTTATTGTTTTTTTTTTTTTAATAAAAATAGTAATGAAATGATAACTTTACTTAAATTATACATATATTTATTTCGGTAATTATTATTTGCAATAATTTTTAAATAGTAGGCATTGCGTTATGCAATTTAAAGACACCTTTAGATATAGACAAATTAGATATATTCAGATCTGAGGATAAAAACAAGCTGTTAAAAAAAAAATAACGATAAACGACACAATCAATAACAATAAAGTTCCACTTCTTCGGAATAAAAAAGTTTTTGGAGGTATTCTTCGATAACAATCATTTGGGTTGGTTCGCATATGTGCAGGAGAATATAGACGAAATATCTTATGAAGCAATAAAATAAAAATAAATTTTTGTGCTCAGTAACGACTACCGCATAAGTGTAAGACGCTCCAAGGGAAAAAATTACACATTGTTTACTAGATATGCAGTTAAAAACCGAAGGTAACTAATGGCTTGAAACTAATTTTCCTGGTATGGTCTTCATTCAATATTTCACATAACAGATCCAGGAACCCTTTTCGAATACAAAAGCATATGTCAAGGATTGTTTGCAGGACAATAGAATGAAAATGCCCTAGGCAGTAATTGGTCTGGAATACAATATTAAACGTTTGTCGGCACAGAACATCGCATTGGTTCAGAATCTATACAAAATAAATGTCATTGGCATTTTATACAACATACAACAGTATTAAATTACTTTTGAAAGCTACAATAAACATCAAAGTAATCTGCAGAAAAGTATACAGAAAGTCGTTCAAAATAAAGGTGGATGCGAAGAATACTAGTAATCAAAACATCTTAAATAACAATCTGAGCTAAAACAATCGAATATACAAAAAAAAAAAAAAAAAATGATTTCCAAAATGTATTTATTTTTGTCCATTCATTTTTATTAATATTTGCTTTCTGTTGCGTATAGAATTTTTTTTTTATTTTGAAGATCTTCACAAAAATAATACAATTGATGTTGGAAAAGTAAAATTTAAACTAAACTCCGTTTTACAATGTAAACATTTCTTGAATTGAACGAAAACTATGTCTACTAAAGAGTGTACTTATTATTTTGGACATGGGTGTATATAGAACTTTCACTTACCTAAAATAAGAAAAAATAAGGTACCTTTATCTAAATGCTTAAAATATTTTTTTACAAGGGTTATAATGGGATCCTTTTAACTGGGAATTTTACACTATTTTTCCGATTTCGTTACAATTTCATACATTGAATCACCAAAATTAGTTTGAAATGTTAGGTTGGTGCGCATGAAATGTCGGATTCTGTTTACATGCGGATGTTTGTCTCCCTGTTTTCATTATACTTTTGTCTTTGGCATAACCTCATTCATAATCATATTGTCCATTGCCAGAGACTCATTTAGCAAAATAGGTTTTCTCGAAGGTCTTCCCTTTTGTTATTTCTTTTGAGTTTATTTCCGATATAAACCAAACCTATCTCATACCTGCTTTCAAATAGCAATCGTAAATTCTTTCTGTTCTCCAAATTGTACCAGATTTGGTACCATTCTGTACTTTTCCTACACTCCCACAGTAAACCAAGTGGCAACTTTCAGAATTCGAGTTCTAACCGTTCACTCAAGTCCAATTTGCACCAAATTTTGTGCTTTTCGTACCCATAAGTACGAATTTCCAAAACTACTTCAGTCATGCACTCCAATAATAACCTTAAGTGCACATTTAAGGATTCCAGCTCTATCCGTTCACCTACATCCAAATTGTATCAAATTTAGTACCATTTATTACTTTTCGTAGACGTTAGTACGAGTATCTAAAACTTTTCAATTTCACACTCCAAAACTATTTTTAATGACAAATTTAAAGAACCCAGCCCTATCCGTTCACATAGATCCAAATTGTACCATATTTAGCACTTTTCGTACTTATGAGTTCGAATTTCCAACACTGTCTCAATCCTGTACTCTCTGTCCATTCCATCTCTATCCTTTTACTCAAATCTAAATTGTACTAAACTTAGTACCATTTAGTACACATATTTACGCATTTTTAAAACTAACTCCATACAATCCAATCCTTAATTTTAATTTAGTACCATTTAGTACACGTATTACGAATTTCCAAAACTATGGACATATCGCAATCCTGCACTCAAACTGTTATATTAATTCAAAATTTCAGGATCTCTGTCTTATCCGTCCACACAAATACAATTTGTAAACCATTTGGTACCAGTTAGTACCTTTTTCCTACACTCCAACAGTAATTTTAATTCGAAAATTCTGGAGTTCAGCTCTATCCGTTCACACATAATTAAGTTGTACCAAATATAGTACCATTTAGTACACATAAGTACTATGCTTCCATATCTCAATTCTATATTCCAACAGCAACCATTATTCCAAATTTTAGGTTTCCAGCTCTCTCCGTTCACCCAAATCCAAATTGTACCAAATGTAGTGCCTTTTAGTACTTTTCGTACACATAAATACGAATTTCCATAGGTGTGTCTATAGCTCAATTTTCAACAGTAATCTTAATTCCAAATTTCAGGTTTTCAGCTCTATCCTTTCAAACAAAATCCAAATTGTACTAAATTTACGAATTTCCTACACTCCAACAGTCATTTTAATTCTCAATTTGAAGACTCCAGCTCTATTTAGCACGATTTAGTACTTTTCGTACATATAAGTACGATTTTTTAATGCTACGTCAATCAAGTAGTCCAATAATAATCCCAATTCATATTTTCAGCATTCCATCCCTATACACTCAACTAAATGCAAATAGTACCAAATTTAGTACCATTTTGTACATTTTATACACATAAGTACGAATTTCTTAAACCATTTCCATACATCAACACCACTTCCCA